TCTCTCTCTCTCTCTCTGTCTCTCTCTCTCTGTCTCTCTCTCTCTGTGTGTGTGTGTGTGTGTGTGTGTGTGTGTGTGTGTGTGTGTGTGTGTGTGACCTCCTCCTGTCCTTTGATGCCTCGCTGTTTCTTCCCGGTTCCGTTGGACTTGGTTGGGCCTGTGGTCCACTTCCATGAAGTTCTCTCCACTATGGGAACTCAATGTGCTCTCCTTTTGTTCTTGCAAATTTGCCTTCTCTCCTTATCTTTGAGAGTAAGTTGGCCGTGTCTCCTCCAAAATGGATGCTCTCCCTGGGGAGGAGTGTGAGTGAGTTTCAATCGTAATCTCTTCTGACTTGTCGGTTGAATAAGAACTGGATTGATGCTCCGCCGATTAAAAGGAGCCAGAACCTAGGAAGATTTTCATGACCGGCCGGTCACCCGGGCGTGACGCCGTGATGCCCGGGATACCCGGGCATGACGCCGTGATGCCCGGGATACCCGGGCATGGGAAAAAAATAAACAAAAAAAATAAAATTGGCGGTGGGGTTTTTCCGCGCTCTCCAAGAGGAGCCCAAATCCGGGGTCTTTTCTTTTTCTGAGTGTTGGCTGTCAAGGGGGGGGGGGAAGGGGAGTAAAAATGAATTTTAAAGGGGCTAAAGGGGTTTAAAGGGGGGTGCCTTAGTGTGATTTGGTTATTTGTTTTTTTATCTTCAGTTCCGTGAGGAATTCTGATGTGACCCTCAGCCAAAAGTTGTTTGTATTGCAATTCTACAAAACATTTTTTTTTTCAGATTTTTTCAGATTTTTAGGATTTTTTAGGGTTTTGTTTTTCTTTTCGCGTTGGGGCTGCCTGGGCTCCTGCCCGGGGGTCATGCCCAGCCGGTCACCCGGTCACCAAACCGGGTGTGATGTCGGGACCCGGGCGCCCGGGATATCTCCCTAGGCCAGAACCGTTAAGGGCGTTTTTGTTTTTTTTTAAGGAAAGTTCCGTGTCTCCTATGAAGGGCCTGGAGTACCACGTTCTTGAGAAGCTGAAAGAAATTTCTTTAGAAGGGAGTTGCTTCTTCTTGCTTCTGCTGCTTCTGCAGCAGAAGTTCTGCTTCTTCTGCAGCAGAAGTTCTTCTTCTTCTTCTTCTTCTTCTTCTTCTTCTTCTTCTTCTTCTTCTTCTTCTTCTTCTTCTGTGCATGGTTGAGCTGGGAGGCCACCTTCTATGTGTGTTACCTCCACTCTAGTATATGAATTGATTCTCACTCCCAGGTGTGTCTTCCACCCTGCTTCTCCTCACACTCTCCCAATAGCATCGACCTTTGTTTTCCAGCATGCCCAGCCTCTGATTCAGCCAGACATGCGACAAACACTGCCTCTAAGGCATTACGTCTGCTGGTGCTTGTAGTCTCCTGATGGGTCGCCGCTGCTAACATGTCAATCGACGATTGGGAGGTCAGGGATAATATTTGAAGTGTTTACTGTGATTATTGCTGGGGAGGTGGCCTACTGGAGGAATTGGGGGGGTGGGGAACCTGGGTATCTATGTAACTCTGGCATTCAGTGTCCATCTCAAACCAGATCTGGCTGGGACGGAAGGGATTTTTTCCCACCAGTACCTATTGGGCCAACCCCTTTAGCCAGAAAAAAAAGGCTGTACCCAGCCGTTGTGGATGAATGGTACACGGCAACACGCATGCAACTCTTGGTGAATAGATCTTAGGGGCTAAGCGCCTTTTGGGAGAAAAAAAGAAAAGGAAAGCCTGTGGCCATTGAATAATAAATCCTATGGAATCCTCCTGGAATCAGACAGATCGTAGGGTACCCTTTTTTTTTTTTTTTTTTTTTTTTTGGGTGATGCCATACTGTCAGAGGCTCAAGGGCTATAAAGGAAAAAGATTCAAAAAAGAAAGAAAAACCCGCAGCCAATAATCAGTCGTCAATCCAACAGACCAACTGAAAATAGGTGCAGCTCCTGGTAACCAGGGCGGTTGTAAAACATCCTGGTGATTTAATCCAACCCAGCCTTTCATAGGCTCTTTTGATTTTTTCTTAACCATGTGTAGTTCGGTTGAGTGGATTTTCCTCATTAGTTTACATCAGGTGTGAATCTGCATATGATCAACATGTACAGGTTTCCTGTGGAAACTTTGCAATGCTACTGTAGGTACTGACTGCCAGGTTGAACTGAGGTATTGCAGGTTCTAATGGCGACGGCTGAGATAAGACTACCTGTGCGGCAGTCTCCGGCTTCTGTTGCAGCAGCAGCGGCAGCAGCAAGAAGCTATGATGCTCCACCTGGTGTTGCGGAGGACCTTAATTACCCACTTGTGAATAACCAAGTAGATATGCTAAGGATCACTAAGCGCCTGGTCATGGCATTGCAGTTGGGTGAGTTTCTGACAGATCCTGTGCTGGTGCAAGAAGCGATATCACGGCTGTACCGCCTCCTATGCCCTCTGCTGGCTCTTCCTCCTTTCCCTCCGCGAAGTCTCTACCTTGCAACTGCACTGAAGCCCTGTGAACTCGCGCTGCGCAGTCTTAGCCCTCTTAAGCACGACGACATCTTGCCCCGCTTGGCGTCCTGCATTACGATGGAGCTTTTACGCTTGTTCACACGCGAGAGGGAGCGGCAGGTATCGATAGACTTAGCACGGCTGGATTACAAGGCGGTGAAGGATGCGAGAAATCAGCTTACTTCTGAGAGCGTGGAAACGGAATCAATCTCTGCGGATGAGGTGCGGAAGGAGGGCCCCGACACGGTCAAGCAACTGAAGGATGTACAGGAAAAGGGAAAAGATAGAGGAAGTTCTGAGCACCATCCTGCCGAGACAGAGAAAAGGCAAAGAGGGGTTGTGGTAACAAAACGAGGACGTGATGACGTCTCCACGGATTGGTTGGAGATCACTCGGAACAAGCGAAGGCAGACAGAGGTGGCATTGCTGGAGGAGTACCTGCTGTTGAACTCTGAGGTTGCGGATGACGCAATGAAGACCTGTGAATCTCTGATGCTCAGGATGAAGGACGAGGCCGACGTGGCGGCGCAGGTCCTTCCTGCGCTTCGCTCTGATGCATCGGTTCTGAATAACACCCTGGAGAAGCTTGTTTCAAACTTTGCAGACCATGTCCGCTTTGTGGAGATGGCAGTGCGTCTGTGCGAAACAAACATTTCCAGGGGTGATTACGGTTCTGTCCTCTTGGTTGTCGAAAAGACAAGAGAAGTCCTGAAGGAGAAAGCAAGAGTGGCGCGTTCAATGGATGAGGAGGGAGGAGGAGCCAAAGAAGGTGCTGCACACAAGGTGACAGCAAAAGACACAGGTGGCAAGACCACTCCGGCTTCGTCAAAGACGATGAAGAAGGGCAGTGGAGGGAACCCGAGCAGCAGGCCAACGTCTGCGCAGAAGAGTAAGGGCTCTGCTGCCACTCCCCGTAGCCGAGCGGTGACTCCAGCTTCGGTTAACGAGAGTCTTCAAAAGCAAAAGAAAGAGACTTCAGCTTCTCCTTCAGATGGAGGGCAAGGTACAGAACTGGAAACAATACGCAACAATGCAGCATCGCTTCTGCAGCGCACGGTTCCTCGTTACCTTGCTAGGCGTAAGAGAGTAATGGATTGGAGGGTGTGGCTGGAACGACAGCATTGCTGGTTGGCACGCATAAATATCTTGGCTGGCCTTGCGCAGTGGAGAAAGATAGAGATGGAGAAGGCAACTGGGGTGAAGGTGCAGTTGGAGGAGCGAACGCAAGGAACTGATCAACGAAAGAGAGAGCAAGGGAAAGAAAGTGCGCGGAAGAAGGAGCAGGTGACGAAGGAGGACGTGCCTGGTAAGATTGAGGAGGATGAAAATGTCGCAATGCCCCACCTTAAATGCTTTCTACAAGCAGCCAATCATGCGCTACGAGGCCAGAGCTGGCATGAGCTGCAGAATGCTGCCCGCTGTTTCTGGAACGCGTCAAATTCTTTCTTGTTGGAGTGCTTGTTTGGAGGGTCTGCAATGCCTGATAACCTTGGAGGCAAGCCACCAGGCACATCATCAGCCTTAGGAGATTTACCTGTCCAAGTTCAAGGGGAGTCAGGTGTTGGAGAGAAGAAGGCAGCAGGAACGACGGTCACAATGGCCAACCAGAAGACACGACTAGCGACAACCATGGCGAAGCAGATGGCCACCCATGTTTTGCACTTGCTAAAGGTGGCGAAAGGAGGAGTGATTCTGCACTCTGTCAGAAGACAAGTTCCGACAGGTGAGGAGGAGGCAGTAGAGAAGAGGCAGCTGCATCAGCCAAAATACACTGTAACTTCTGTAAGTGAATCAGAACGGAAGGCAGGGATTGAGACAGAGCATCATCAGGGAGGACTAGGGATAGCAGGAGGAGCAGGAGGAGGAGAGGGAGGAGGACTAGGGATAGCAGGAGGAGTAGCAGGAGGAGGAGAGGGAGGAGGACGAGGGGTAGCAGGAGGAGGAGTGGGAGGAGGAGAGGGAGGAGGAGATCTGGGAGCTGGGGAGCAGAGAAGGGATAGAGAGGAGATGACGGTGGTCGACAACGACTGTGCTCAGACTGAAATCACAGACTCGTCATCAACAGCATCGGGTGCACCAATTGAGCTTTGGTTTCAATACCGGACAGACATAGATGTCACATGGGCTGCCAGGTCAGTGTTAACGTGGGTGCTTGTGATCCTGAAATAATGACCTTCAAAAAAAATCCCGTCGTCCACCAGACTATTTTCTTCTTCTTCATCCTGCCTATTTGTCAGACTGCTTTGTCATTTAATGCAAAAATATACCTTCTGTAATGACCCGCCAAAACACAGACTGAGAACACTGCTGATTTCTGGGATTTGTCACTGGAATGAATGCCTTGCTGTGATTCCCGCATTCTGCTGTGGTCCCAAGTCTGTGTGTGTGCATGCCTGCTGGGTTGCATGCCTGTCTGAGGTGCCTGCCGGTTGTGTGTGTGCATGCCTGCTGGTTTGCATGCCTGTCTGAGTGCTTGCCGGTTGGGTGTGTGTGTGTGTGACCCGCAGCGAAGAGCTCTTCCTCATTTGCGGTATGCAAGGATTGGCGACATGCTGCTGGAGCGCTAGCGCTGGTCTGCTACAGCGCTGGGTGGAGGTGAAGGTAGCTGGGCGCTCAGCCTGGCTATGGCGAGMAGCCCAGTGTGAGGAGGAGGAAGAAGGAGGTTGAGGGAGAGAGTGGCGAGGCACTTACCTGGCTATGGAAGACACCATCTTCATCACCTTGTTGGGC